TCTCGGTTTGCTAAGATGAATTTAATTCAAATTTATGAAGTTTTAACGGTGAAAAGTGGCTTTTACTTTGAATGATAAATTGGATCAAGCATGTTACGTCCCTTTAGTAGAATCAGCTCTGAAGTTATCAGGAGTGGGAACGCATAACATAACTGTGAAAATTCCAAGATGACATTTAGGAAATTTTTATAATTTCGTTGGAAGTCGAAGGAAGAGCACCTTTTACTCGATCAGGGTTTCGAATGATCAATTGAAAATGAAAAACAAAAAAAAAAATTCCCACTGCAGCTTGTATTGTATCTAATGAAACAAAGAGCTGAGAAAAATGGCAAACGTTGTATATTTGAATAAGTCGTTTCATAGTACCTCAGAATGTTTTAAAGCTGCAGATGTAGGAGGCGAAAAGGGAAACTTGAAGAAAGGGAGCTTGTTTGTATGTTTGAAACAAGGACATAATTCAAGTTCTGCAAAACTTATTTAAAGTAATTATATGCAAAAGAAACACCACAGCATTGTGCCAAATATAAATCAATCAAAACAAGAAACAACTGAATCGGATGCACAGCTTCTTTTGTCACCAAAAAATTCTCCAACGTTATGTTAATGTATTGGTGAAAATCATCAATGTGACAAGTCCGGATCGTTCGTGGATTATTTGATACTGGTGCTCAGAGATCTTTCATACGAAGAGATATTGCGGAGAAACTAAGATTGAAACTTGTAGATCAAGAAATGATGAGTCATGGTCTTTTTGGGGGCAGTGAAACTAAACAAGAGTCCCATAATGTCTACAATATTAAATTACAAAGCTTCTGTTCAAATTTCAAGTACACTATTTCAGTTTTGGACGAAAAGAACGTGGAATTGCGCCACATATATGTGGCATAATTCCACGTGTAGAGGATCCAGATATTTATCCAATTTTTAAAAAGAAAAATATACGCTTAAGTAATACAGGAGAATATGTGCCTGAAACAGGTTTATTAATAGGAGCAGATTATCTTGGCGCATTATTGGCTGGGAGAATTGAGCCCATTGATAATAATTTGGTAGCTATTAAAACAAAACTTGGATGAACGCTTCAAGGTAAACAAAGAAACTACTCAAATCTTTGGATTTGTATATGTAATAATTTAGATTGACGGAATTATGGAGCCTAGTGTATCGGGATATATGTCCCAGAAGTAAAGTCAAGGCAGGTAACGATGAAGGACGGTAGATTTTCCGTAAAACTATTAAAAGAAAAGAAGACAAAAGATATGAAGTGTTTGCTGAATGGAACAGTGGACGTCCAGAATTTTGTAAACGAATACCAGAATTGCCACAAACGGTTAATGTCAACTACCAAAAATCTCATACGATTGGACATTTACGAGATGCGAGATGTGTTTAAAAGTGGGTTCGGGATGGAGGTTATGAAATTGTAGATAAAGACGAGAAAAAAAAGGATACTTTTAATACATCATCCTGTGATAAAAAACTGGTGTACAACAACAAAAATTCGTCCGGTTTGATGCTCGACAAAGATTCCAAAGGAAATTCCTGAATAATTGTTTAGAAATGGGTCAAATTATTAGAATTGGTCCCAAATTGATAATGCAGGTTGGAAAAACTATTGGAGGAGAACATCAGACATAGAAAAAGCATTTTTACAAATCAGTTTGAATCAGAGGAAGGGAGTATTTTAAATTTCTGTGGTGGAAGGATTTATCAAGCGAGAAGAAATAACCACTCTCCGACATTGGTGAGTGTATTTGGTGCTTCTTCTAGCCTTTACTAGAAGCATAGAGCTTACCATCTAGAGAACGTTCCGATGGCAAGGAAACATACAGTTGTCAATCAAAGAATCTTTTATGTGGACAACTGTATTACAGTTTAGAAACTAAGAAGAGGCAGAAAATTTATTTCTGAAGCTAAGGAGCTGATGTCTTCAGCACAATTGAATTACAGGGCGGGTTACTTCTGAAAATTTCAAAAGAGACACATGTCAAATTCACTCAATTTAGGTCTCTCTGGGACACTGAACCGATGAACATTTTGCGCAGTATGGTGAAATTCCAGAAAAGGGTTACCAAAAGAGTTGTGTTATCGGCTGCCCAAAAATATTTGACCCTATTGGGATAACATGTCCCGTTTATGATACAAAGTATTGCTTCAAAGCTTGGAAGAGGAAAATTATGGTACGTGTATTCCAATAGATATCAAAATAGATTTTTGCCGGGCAAGGAACATCTACTGAAGAAGTAAGATCCACGTAGACTCGTCCAGGTCCATTGAAGAATGCCGAATAAGTCTCATGTTCTGTGATGCCAGTGAAGTTCTATGTGATGTATTTTCTTAAGTTCTGAATTTAATGAGAGAAGATTCAGTCAAGTTAGTTAACGCGTAAGTCAAGAGCACCTACCAAAAGAGATACAATTCCTAATTAGAAGTCTTGAGAGCTTTGATTTATCAAGATTATATGTCAAGTCGTAGAGGACTGCAATTGAAGACAATACAGAGTATTTTAGACTGATTCAACTGTTGCTTTATTAATCAGAAGAAGGAGAGTCTTGGAAAAAGTTTGTAGGAAACAGAGCACAGAATAAGAAAGAATACAAATCGAATGACTGGCATTTTGTGCAGGGATATTAACCCAGCAGATTCCCCAAGAGTTGTGATGCTAAGAATTATGAAAAGCAAATGGTGGGAAGGTCCGAAGTTATGGAAGTCACAAAAATTTGTCCATTAAGTGAAAAACAGTCATGAGGAAAATTAATTGGTAGATCGAAAGAGAGAAAATGATAATCATATGTGGAGCATGGATCAGTAATTCCCTGACAGTTACTTTATTTCTAAAATATACAAGATCTTAGAATTACTTGCCCGGCTACTTCGTTTCATTAAAACTGCCAAGGAAAAGAAAAACTTAAGAAAAATGAGTTGACTTAGAAGAAGTCAATCAGCGGAACATTGTTCTAAAATTTTCAGTAGGAAGTTTTGCCGGAAAAAAAATGAAAATCTGAAGAACATGCAAAACATTTAGAGACGAAAATAATATTGTTCGACTAGAACAAAGCTTTCTTGAGAGTTGAAGAGGAAATTTAAGTGCCCATATTGTTGCCGGAAGCCATAGATTTTCATCGACTGGAAGGCAAAGATGTGAACTACAACTGCGGACTTCGAACTATGATTGCCAATTAGAGAAGCATTACTGATTATTCGATCAATAGATTAGCGAACGACAAGTTGCCTAGTTGTTTCATGTAAAAGATCAAGGCCAAACTTACAGAGCACCTTTTGCACCTCTTCCTAGAACAATAAAGGATGCTGCAGTTTTTGAAGTTTAGGGGATTGATCTCGCAGGCCTTTGTATTGCGTCTGGCGAGAAAGACATGGGTTGTACTTTTTAATGTGCATTATTAGGCCTGTTCCATTCTGAATTAGTCAATTCTCGGTCTACAAAGTTTTTATTTGGCTTAAGAACATTCTTTGCTCGAAGAGGTAGAGTAAATATATCTACACGACAACGGTAGAAACTTCATTGTTAAGCAATGCCCTAAGAAATTGGATTGGGGGAAGATCATGTCGTTTTTCCACTATCAAGAAAATCAAATGGATTTTAACCCTCCAAAGCCGCCCGGGGGGAGATGGTGGGGAGCGCATGGTTAGAATGTTGAAAGAGAATATAGAATTTTGGGCAGGAAAGTCTTGACTATGAAGAGTTGGAAACTATTCATGTGATGCGAAGCACAAAAACTCTAGGCCACTACATATATTGAAGACATTCGAAGCCTGAAGCTTAATCCCGCTTCTTTCTTACTCTAAAATTAAGTAGGATTAGAATGAGATTTCGAATGAGTATTTAGCAATGTTGATTCATAAAGGTTAAGAGCGGGAAGAATATTTAAGAGTGGAAGGTCGTCTTTCAGAAATGATACAAGCGTATCAACTGGCCTTTAGGAATCGTCATTGAAGTCTTTTCTGAGCAGATGAGCACTCAAGAGTCGCCAGAGTGAGAACAGCTAATGGAGAGAAGTTGAGACCATTCCAAAGACTTTATCCCTTAGAAATCAACAGTTCGGAAAAGTTACCATTCATTTCCCAAAATGCCCGAAGGGATGAAAGTGCCTCTACGAATATGCCTCTACGCTCTGCAGCTAATGATTCAGATTCCAGTGAAAATGATGATTCATCACCCAAAGTCCTAGATTTTGTTACTATAGCTGGTCGACGTGTTAAAATTCCCAATATACTTGATTTATAACTTTTGTTGCAATTTATAGGATCCTATAAATTGCAAGGTGGGAGGTTGTTGAGAAGCTACAACTCAACTCTGTTTAAGTTTTATGTTTTAAAATTAAGCTCTATCGTTTTGGTAAGAAAACTGCTTCTACATTTTTGTAAATATCTGCAATTAAAGTGTTTTTTCATATTAAATCCATAGTTATTTTCGAATAATTTAAAACTACTCTTGCGGCTCTCCGTATATTTAGAGTGCCACCATGCCTCACGGACACTATACATTAACAAACATCCATGCCTTCAGCGGGATTCGAACCTAGGCTCTTCGGTACGAAAGTCAGTATCGCTAATCGCTATACCGGTTGGGCGGTAAAACCGGTCGTTTCGTCTCGACGGTGTCCAAACGGAAAATTTTACCCTAGAACACTTGACAATAAATTTTACAGGAAAAAGTGTTACTCTAAGTGCAGAATTCTGAATAAAAACTAGCAGATTTTGTTGATTCGTTTAATGATATGTGCAAACTCATTGAACAACGTGTAAAACCTTAAAAATTAAACAACTTGGAAAACAAGGCAAGAAATTTAATAAAACTTGAAAAAACTCAGAGAAAAAATTGGGTTTCTCTACTTTTATAATAATTTTTATTTGCTTTTGTTGATTAATATTTCTTTAACTTCATAACATAGAGCAAAAGGTTTCAAGAAGAGAAAGTTCGTAACTGCTAATCGTAATTAATGAATAAATTCTGATCATAACCGCGATAGGTTGAAAGTGTTAAATTGTTACGCTTGGCGGTTTATTTAGTTTTGAAGCGGTGGTGTCATGTTAATTATTTAATGAATATGGATTAATTTTGTATCTACAACCTCTTTCGCAGTAAGTTGAATTCTCATGGCTTAAATAGTTGCATAAGTTATGAATGCTGTTTAGCGGCGCTTCTGAATCATTCAGAGTCGTTGGTATACGTTAGTGAAATTTAAAGCGGCGTTCATAAGAATTAAAAATTGAACTAGGGTTGTTAAGCTTCCACTTATTATTTTTAAGTTATTAAGTTTTATTATTTTTTCATTGCTTGATAATTTCATTTCTGGTTTTATGAAAGACAACTACAGTCGTTACGCCCGAATAGCTTTGAATGTATGTTTTTGTAAACGCATAACTTCATGCTTAGTTTCATCGTTTGTTGAGTTTTTCCCAATGCTGAGAAATACCTTTTCGCTGTTAACAGGATGTTTTAAATATTTGTTTAGAAAAATAGTATTTTAACTGCGCAGATCACCGATTTCTTCATTATTTTTGATTGGGTTGCAAGTTTTCATCTGAACTTAAGGGCAATAAGAGAAATGAAAAAGTTAAAAATTTTTTTTAAACATCAATATTATTATTTTAATTTTAAAGGAATCAATTTAAAACTGATACAACAATGAATATGAAACCGATATGATTTAAAAGTCAGTATTATTAAGTACTAAACACTTGCATTATAGCTTATTTTAAAACTAATAAATACTTAGTTTTTCCTCGGAGGGGGGGGGAAGGGGAAGGCTATTTTGCATATAAATCTAATTCTTAGTTTTGGTTTTTGATTTAGCTGCATTTTTCATGATGTTTCAGAATTTTAATATTTCATTAGAAAGCTTGTAATTTGATTCAAAATTCAAAATGATAGTTTGAAAACGTGTCAGGTAACTATTATTTAAAAAAAAAAAAAAAAAAAAAAAAAAAAATGCAGTGTTTTATCTGTTATCTACCTTGCATTATCAAAATTTGAATAGTTTCAATTAATGAAAAATATGAAATTGCATTTAAAATTTTCAGATTAAAACTCTTTTAAATGGAAACTGATGTTTGGAAAAATATTTTAGTATGAGCTAAAAATATTTTAGCATTTTAGCTATTAATCATTTTTTGGTACTTTTCCGTTTCGCCGGTGCAAATCTCGCCAAGCAGACTTGGCGACAACATAGAGTATACACATAAAAAAAATTAAAAAAATTTTAGTTCTAAGAATTCTTTTTTGAAGGCAATAAACATTTTAATATCGCTTAAAACTTTATAAACGCCAATAAATAAAGACAATAAATTTGTAAAAAGATATTAATTTAAGAATTTACTATGCTTTCATGGTTCAACATCCTGATTCGCCGCGGTTATATCACGTGACCCCAAGTGATGATCTCAGTAACTACTCTACAAAAATCTAATGCTCTCAGTAATTATTTACATTAATTTTCAAGTAAATCTTAATTTGGAACACAAAGTTAATGCAAGAAATATTTCACTGCGTACGAATAGCTTACTTAGAAATTATGTAAAATGCAGGCTTTTTTCCACTAATGCATTCTCATTAGATTGATGAATTTCCCTTGACTTTCCTTTTCATATTTTCCGCTTCGGGTAAGAGCTGTGATGCATCCTAATTGACTAATACGAAAAGACCTTAGAAATAAAACTGAACTATGATAAAAATATTGCCAGTATTGAAAGAAACAATCAATCTGGTAAGAAATGGTTGCGACTTGTTGAAAATGAGGCGTAGAAAGGTTACCAGCGAGATATTCGTTTGGCACGTTGTACCATTATTGGACACTATCGCTTGCGCTGCGGAAAAAAAAAGTACCCATTTTTTTGCCATGTACTGTATTTTGATGTCTACTAATTGAAGTTGACAGTATGCGGTACAAAGTCTTTAATCTGGACGTCCATAATCCGGAATGATCTATAATCTGGACCTCAAAAGCTATAAACTTTCTGCACATGTGCGTTTACGCATGTGCATATGCGTTTACGCATGTGCATATGCGTTTACGCATGCGCATAATACGTTTACGCATGCGCGTTTAATGTATTACGGATGGTATAAGCTAGGCTAAAATTATATATTTCTGTTAATGTTGCAGATTGGCTTGTTCTTTAATCTTCTAATTGGATCCGCCTTATTATTTTTTGCAGACTGTTAGAGCAATTTTATAAAGTAAGCTGAATTTCGATTATGTCAAAAAGAGTTTCTGATTCTGGAGCTGCCAAAGGATCACAGAGCGGAAAGCATGTTTCAATGTACCGCTTTTCAATAGTGAAGAAATGACGAGAGGTTATTGAAACGAAAAAATTTCGATTGACAAGTTGGTATTCTCGACACCCAATTACAGGACTTGAACAGTGGAAATGAACAAGAATTATGTCGTTTATAAAAAAAAAGAGAAAGTATAAGCACCAAAAAGAAGCAACTTAAAACAACTTACGTTGAAGAAATTTAAATGTAAACAATATTAAGTTTTTTTTTTTTTTTTTTTTTTTTTGTAATTTGATACCCTAGATCAAATTGCTCTTTATTTCATAAATTACAGTTTATTTTTCATTTTAGAATTACTGCATGCGATCTTACCAGATTTAAATTGATGATCTATAATCCGGAATCGCCTGTCCCGACGAGTCCGGATTAAAGACTTTGTACTCTATTATCTTATTTTTAGATTTTCATTTCATATCATTTATTTGCAGGTTAAGTAGTTTGTTTTTACTAATTGTATTAAAATAAATACTGTATAGAATTTTTTAAGACTTTTTTTTTTTTGAGTTTTTTATTTTTGTTTGCAGTTATTTTTAAAATGTCTGACCAGACTCAAGAAACAATTGCTAGCCGATTTGTACGTCTGAATCAGCTGCTGCTTGGAAAATCAAGTTACAACATTCCAAAGAAATATTTGCTGCACCGAGATGGCCTTCTTGATGCTTTGTGTGCATTTTATGAGGAATGCAATGTTGATTATTTGCGGAAGGATAAACACATAGCAAATTTCATTGATAAATGTGAGTATTATTTTTCTTTAATGTCATTTAATTAATTTATTTATCAAATACTTTGTAATGCAGGAATGTATTTATTAATATCTATTATGTTACTAGTGCAAGTTTATTTTATATTTGTAATTTCATATAAGGTTTCTAGGAAATAGTCTTAAAAAAGTACGGAACTACTCTTATATGCGTCCTCAGGTCGCCAAATTTCTTGCCAAACGTTTTGGCGAGAAACTCCACAGTGCCATATTACTATCTAAATTTTTGGTCTACATTTCGAACTTTAAGCCTGAAATGTGTCCAAAAACGTGTTTTTTGCACACACAATTTAAGCTAAAAATCCAAAACGAAAACAAAAAATTTAGATAGCAAAAACGTAAAGTTTCTAACCAAAAATATTTGACAAGAATCCATGTACCCAAAGATATGTTTTAACTTAAAAAGACATCTACAAATTGCACAATCTAGGCAGCGAAAGAATCTACGAACTATACGCACCTTGCTTTAATAAAATTAACTTAACAACAATAAATTTCAAAGAATACCATGTACACAGCGCTCTGTTTAAACTTAAAAAAACATCTACAATTGCACATTCTAGGCATTGCGCATAAATCAACAAAATGAACTAAAATAAATTGCAAACAATACATATAACAACAGAAATGAATAGTAAAAAATCTGATGTGTACACCACATGACTTCCTTGTACGGAGTATTAAATTATACGCATTTTTTCTTGCATTTCATTTAAACTTATTGGATTGAATTAAATCTACTTTGCCGACAGTGCATAAACCAAATAGAATAAATGCATTCTTTAAATTCATTCTAGTATTTGGTTTACCATTAGCGACACTCTGGCGCTAATTCACTTAACAGTATTAATAATTAATAACAGTTAACCTATTAATAATTTTATAACGGAAACTAAGTTAACTGTATATAATCCAGTAATTATATACAGTTAGTATATATTTTTCATATTATAAAACTCATAATGCACAAAATTTATTTATTTAAAGAATAGAATTATCTAATCGTTGCCACATGTTTATCAAATACTATAATAAACCTAGAATGATGTATAAAAAAAAATAAAGCAAACAAAACAAAAAAGAAACAGTTTTTCACAGATGATTGAGTATTTCTCATTTAATTAATTCAGTTCTCACTTCGTGAGAGCAAAAAATAAAAAACTCAAAAATATCTATATTAAAAATTACGAGTAAATCTTAAACACTTATTTCCTCGAAAAAATTCCAGAAGAATTAAGCAGATTTAATTGGCAAAATAAATGAATGCATTATCTTTGTTGTTGCGAAGCTAAGTTTTCTAGATTGGCAACAATCCACTAGTCTCCTGTTTCAAATGTAAACACAATGGCGCCATAAAAAAAAAAAGGCTTAGTGCCCACTTAGACAACTTTAAAATTGTTGGTAATTCTAAAAAATATTGCATTACAGATTTAGAAAAGGCATAAAAACCTTAACCAGAAGATAAAAACACATAATACAATACTTTTAAGCAAAAAAGTACAATTTACAAACATTAAGAGTAAGAAAACTGAGATCACTGAACCGGGTAACAAGAGTGCAATATATAAAATATATTTATATACGTTGGGTGCAGCCGATTGCAACCAAAAATACGAGGTGTACATCTACATGTTTATAGCACTCCTATATACAAAATTTCAACGTTCTGAGGCCCTCGTTTTTGGTTATGCAGAGTAGTTACATACGTTCGTACAGACCCCCACAAAAAATTCTTCAGAATTATTTTAAAGCAGTTTATAATTTTTTTGAAGGAAAGAAAAGAGTATTTTATTCTGTCCTTACGTACAGATATCACGCAAAAATATCGTTAAATTGCATTCGATAGCGGTCAAAATGGATATTTTCGTTGAAATATGACGCCTGAAACTTTTCGCGATTACAATACTTCCTTGTTACTTCGTACAAGGAAGTAAAAAACAAGGAACATAACATTCTGCAAAATGAAAACAATAAAATGCACTTACCATAACACGTACGTGAATGAAATTTCGCCAGTCATATAACATCTGTCAACAAAAGTGCCACGATTTTGCATGCTTTAACTTACTGTGATAAAAATGTGATCTTTGAGAAGGGTCGAAGCTTGAATTTTTTATAAAGCTTATCCTTCTACTTACTGTTATCTTGAAATTCTTTGTGTATTATGTGAAAAGTCATAAATAGGACATCTGACAAGGGGGATATTTTGGAAAAAATTGTATTAGAATTAAAATAGTTTAATACTTAAAATAGCCTGTTACTTATGTAGAGAATTTATCTTCTGCTTCAGCATGCTGAAAACAATGGATATCACAAAGATTCCCAACTTTTTTTGGCACTACTCCTTTTCTGAGGGCCGTAAAAAATTTGCCAAACTGTTATTGACGTAAGTGATGTTTAATTAATTGTTGAAAACCTAACACAGTTTGCGAGTTCAATTTTGCGCAATTCGCAAGTTCAATTTCTTTTTTGCTTGTGGATTTTTCACAAGAAACAAATATTTATTTAAAGCATTCCCCCCCACTTGCCATGGATTCACAGTTTTGGAATTGCACGTGGATAAAAAGTCTGTGATTAATTAATTTCAAATAAGAGGCATGATAAAAAATAAACAATGGTGCTTGAAAGATCGTGAAATGAAATTATGTGCTGTACATTTTCCTGTTCTGTTCAAAGATTTGTTATTGTATTCCACTTTTGTAATTTTTATCAGTTTCTCTCTGTGACACTACTTCTTGGAACCTGTATAACAATCTGACAACATGTTTTTGTTTTTTAAGGGAAATTTCAATCTATCCCATTCCTCCTCTCGGTAAGAAAGTGGTTAACGAAAGTCGGGTAACTCCTGTTGATTACCACTTGCTTTCTTTTCTGTTGCTAGCTATTATCAGGTTTATCTGAATGTTTATGCATGTTTTATATTATACAGTAAGACCCCGCTTAACGCTGTTTCGTTTAGTGCTGTTTCGGTTTAGCGCTCTTTTATATCAACCCGGGGATTCCACGAAATCGCTCGCAGCATATGGGGATTCCCCGAAATATTATGCAGCGATAGGTTTCAAATACATATCCGAAAGAGTGTACTTGTATTCTTGTTGGTGCGGTATGTACAGACATATTTGAAGGGGTAAATGTGGAAGATGTCGAAGAAAATAATTCAAGAAGCAGCGGCTAGTCTTTCTATGAGAGTCAAGGAATTAACTGAACAAGAGAAACAAAAATGTGACAGCAGTGATTCAGAAGAAGAGCAAAAAGAACTTTCGATGACGTTTGTAAAAGGAGTTGTCTACCATAACTGAAATAAGGGATCAATTCATTGAAAATGATCCGAATTTTGACAGGAGCTCAAAAGTAAGGCGTGGGTTAGAGATGCTCTATCCGTTTATGAAGAACTTTAAAGAACAACGCAAAAAAAAAAAAAAAGGCAAAAAAAACATTAGATGCTTTTGTCACAAAAGGGCAGAACACTGAAAACGCAGAAGGCAACTAAATATGATGACTGAGAATTTTATTGTTTTTTTTAAGAATATTCGTTTGTTATTTATATTTTGTTTTTATTTTGCAAGAAATATAATGTGGTATTAATTTGGCTTTTAAGAAATAAATGTTTGGTTATTTTATTAAAAAAACATACTTTTAAATTAATACCTAACCAATTTCCTAGCCATCTTCCCTAACCCCAATATTTACATGTAAAGATAGCCTCGTTTAGCGCTGTTTCGCATGACACTCTACTTTGATGGAACGTATCCCCCGCGTTAAGCGGGGTCTTACTGTATGCTCAACTTTCAGTTCATTTTGGGGGGAGTCTCAGTTTATAGCCAGGTTTACAAGTGTTATGTTGTCTGTAAGAGTAAAAATTTCAAACAAGAAGAAAACAAATTAATATCATAGTGGAAATGGAAGTGGATGCCTTAAGAGAACAAACAGTATTAATAAAATTGCCATGGATATAGGAGTTGAATGAAGTACGAGTTTTGATTAACTCGTCGTTTTTTGTTATGAAACTCTGCATTTTTAGTAACTTGTATCGTTCTCAGTCCATGGTAGGCTGAGCTTGTGGGCTCTGCTGTATATTGAGCTCTGTCCAGTCTCAGCATTTTGAACATAGTGTGACTTGTTAGCTATGCCTATTCTTAAAGGTTTTTTTTCCCCTCCCTGTAAAATTTTTTAACCCCTTCGCGCCGACTGTCACGTATACGTGCCAGCAACGAACGCACTTACCTACCGGCCGACACGCAGTGTGCCAGAGGAATTGTTCATTTCTCTACCGCTGTCACGTATTTGTGCCAGTACTTGGAACGTTTCAAAACTATAATTTCTGTCACAAATGGCACTGTATGTCCCGATGTTTCAGATACATGTAATTAGACCTTCTACTCGAAAGAGAGAACTGACTCACCCTACACGTGTTTTTGATTATATAAACAAACTGGGAAATAAATGTTCCGAATGGCTGATTATGACTTTTAATCGCACTTTATTCGCACTGGTAGTTGTTTACTGTAAGTAGAAAAATTTTTTTGCTCTAAAGCGTTGGGTATTTCGGTTCAGTTCAGTTTTTAGAAAATATTAGATCTTGTAGTGTGAATTCTTTGTTTTTAACCATTGCAACGTCGAAGCGTCGAAAATGTTTTAACAGAGCAAAATAGCAGAAATGATGCAAAATATTTCGATATTGATTCGAAATTCTGATATTCTGATATGATTCTGAATAACTGAAGAATTTCCAAAACTTTGTTCAGAGAGACTGATAAGAAAAGAGACGACGATGCTTCGTTTTTACATTCCCGGAAAAAACCTTCAAAAAGGCAAATGAGTTATTACGAGTGCAAGGAAGTAACTAGGACTGTGAGTAGATCCCTGTTTTCAAATTTTCATACGAAAAAGAATTTTAAGTAATATATTTAGTTTTCAGATGTATAATGTTAAAATTCTAAATGGTGAGTAATTAAAAAAAATGTGTAAAAATAT